CAAAGCACAGTCTTACATGGCTAGTATCAAAAGAAAGAAAGAAAGAAAGAAAGAAAGAGAAAGAAAGAAAGAAAGAAAGAAAGAAAGAAAGAAAAAGAAAGAAAGAAAGAAAGAAAGAATTGAGAAATTAACAGACAGCAAATGCTGCTTCTGCAGAGAAGCTGAAGAAACAGTGGACTACTTAGCTGGTGCAAGAAGATTGCACTGACTGACAACAAACAGGATGATAAAGTATCAACAATTTGGAATATCTGCAAGAAATGCCATTTGTCCACAGGCAAGACCTGATGGACTACAAAATAAACAATATAATAGAGAACGAAGAAGCTAAAGTGTTCTTGGACTTTAGAATTCAAGCAGATTGACACCATTTAACACTCCATACTTAATGGTTGTCTATAAGAAAAACATTATTTAGCGTACGGCAATAAGAAAGATTTTAAAAAGTCTGTATAGTGAACATTGTAATACCTGGGGACAGAAGGAAAGAAGAGAGAAAAATGGAGAAAAATCACCAAATGCAGAAACCTTCAAATAGAAGTAGAACGACTGTGGCAAAAGAAAGCAAAGGTAGCGCCAATAATAATAATAATAGGTGCCTTGGGTACGATCCCAGAATATCTGGAGCACCACTTGAACACCATCAGCATTGACAAAACCACCACTAGTCAATTGTGAAAGGCAGCTGTATTTGGAAGAGCTGACACCTATCATGATACCTTTAATATTCTTAAACAACATCTGCCTATCTCAGATCCTTGGGAAACACTCAATAGGTGGATAAATGCCAAATCCAGTCTAAACATCTGTTGACTCTGCAACCAACCATAATAGGAAAAGCATTTCCCACAGTTTAAAATATCAAGAACGTTGTTGTTGTTGCGTGGACTGTACCATCAGTGATATTGCTTAGATACGCTGTGTAGGTTTTAAGTTTATAGGGGGAGAATCAGCTCCAGCAATTGTGGCTACATGCTGCATCCCTCTTTACTGACATAGACAATATAAAGAGATGCTGCAAGATTCCAGACAGTCAGCTCTTATGTACCTGAATACTTCTTTTCCACAATACTGCAGTATTTTTTGTCTGTTTGTTTTCTAAGCTGACACAAGGGTAAGAATTTAACAGGAAACATCCGTGGCTTATTTTTCTGGTTTGTGTCTTTGAGAACACAGGAGAGAGGAGGAATCATTGTTCAGCAAAAACTGTGTTTCAGCCCAGGAAAATGTATGACCCTGCTTTGAAATGGCCTTTGGAATAATAGATAAGTAGTGCCAGATATCTTATTTTCTTTTTCTTTGCAAAAAGCAACCTCCTCTTTTTTTTCCAGTAGAAAAGGGATCTTTGGTTCAGCCTTGTCTGCACTGGCAACAGCCACCCAGCTGCTGCTGCTACATTTCTCTCACACAAGAGGATTAAGTGTACCGGTCCCTCTATTCTTAGCAAGCATTTCTCTTGTGTCCTGTTCTTGGTTACTGTTAGATCAGTTTAGAGAGACGTGGGTGAGCATGTGCCTATAATTTTGTGCTCCTGTTGATTGGAAAGCCTTCACTCTGCCATTCAGCTCTCTCCTTCCCTCACTAAACCAGGTGCTTCTCTCAAACAGAAACTGGACCAAAAACAACGCCCAGTGTACAGGTAACTTTTGCCTCCTAGGGTGGGTCTATGACAATTCACCACGGACAGTTCACCAGGACCAACATGCCACAGCCAGCTCATCCTGGCTAACTTGCCATAGCCATCTGGCCACAGGACAGCTCACTGCGGGGGCAAGAGTTACACTAAGGTCAAAGAATTAGTGGAATAGAGTAATTAAAGGATGCAAAAGGAGAGAATGAAATATGAATGGCAAATTTTTTATTTTAAATAAATAAAATTGTCCCACAGTGAGTTTTCCCATAGTGAGTTGGACATGGAAGGTTGGCTGTGGCAAGTTGTCCCATTCTTGCTGGATTACTTTCCAAGATTCCCTCCAATGCTAAGCAGCAAACATTCACATCCCCTAAGGCAGTGTTTCTCAACCTTGGAGACTTTAAGTCCTATGGACTTAAACTCCCAGAATACCCCAGCCAGCAGAGCTAGCTGGGGAATTCTGGGAGTTGAAGTCCACAGGACTTAAAGTTGCCAAGGTTGAGAAACACTGCGGGCCTAAGGAGATTTTTTGGGTGGACAAAATGGACACTCTTGAAAGATAGTCAGATATTTTAAACACACTTTGCAAGGTCACTCTTAATATTGAGAAACTTTGGAAGAGTGTTTGGAAGAGTACATCAAAAGAGATTTAAGTGTGCAAATACTTTATTTTAAAGATAAAAGATTGTGGCACTAGAAAAGGGTGATTTAGAGTAATACTGTAACAGAACTTGTGAAAGAGGTGAGCTGGTAGAGCTGGATGACACAAGTCACTGAAGTTCCAGAGTCTGCATTTGAATTTCTGTTGTTGGTTTGCAAATCTAATATTGTAATTGCAAGTATTTTGTTAAAAACCAGCTGTACACAATTGTTAAAAAAAGAAAACGGACACATAAATGGTAAATTGCCTCTAGCTATATTAACTTGACAATATCAAATTAAACCCTGTAGGAGGTGCTGTTGGTTTACAAATGTGCACAAGCATCTCCGATTAGAAGATGCTCCTAGCCACAAGATGAAAGTTGTACATTTTTTTAAGCAGATCTCTAACCATAGAGCGCTCGCTCATGGGAAAACAGAAGAAGCTGTAGTAATAACTTTTTGTGCCTAACTTTTTTTTAAAGTCCATGGTAGCATCTTCTAATATACAACTCCGAAACAAAAGGATGTTCCACAAACTTACCTTTGTTTTCTGCAGAAAAAAATTGCTCAATGATTTTTCCTTCAATCTAAATCTTGGGATTATGTGTTGTTGGGATTATGTGTTGAGATCCAGATATGTTCAACCGACCCTCCCCCAAAGATATAATTCCCACACGTTTTGTCTTCTTTATTTTAAGCATGATTGTCTTCATTGACCCAATTTTCTGAATTAGGAGAAACATTGCAAGTCTGTACATACAGGTTAGATTCACACTGAAGTTTTCTAAAGCAATTTACCCCGGTCCCCTACTTGAGGCCTAGTTGAAGATGTTTGGGAACTCCAGTATCTCCCTAACCTGGAGGTACTCGGAACAGAAATGCTACTGCACATCTAAAAGGCACAAGGTTGGAAAGTTTCCCTGGGATATATTTATCAAACCACCTGACTGAACGTACATGTACTTCTAGGAAGCATATTGGTCTTCTAGTTAAACTAGAGTCTTGTGCATCATGATAGATTGATGCTGTTTGGTTACTCTAGAACAAGGATCTTGAGACACTGTACCTTATTAGGGACCAGAAATGACAATAACTTGAATGCCGTTTGGTGGGAGGAAGGGGCAGAGAGCATGTAAAGTTTTAGTCTCCACATCAAAGCATCTTCACTCTTGGAATCCGGCATACTGCTTAAACCAGCTTCATGCCATTTATTTATTAAAGTTATATGCTGCCCCTCTTATCATGGGTAACTTTTACAAGCCACTGTTGCTGGTGACTGCATTTTAGGGGGTCAGAGCTGAGGTGGCGCAGTGGTTAAATGCAGCACTGCAGGCTACTTCAGCTGACTGCAGTTCGGCTGTTCAAATCTCACCGGCTCAGGGTTGACTCAGCCTTCCATCCTTCCGAGGTGGGTAAAATGAGGACCCGGATTGTTGTTGGGGGCAATACGCTGATTCTGTAAACCGCTTAGAGAGGGCTGAAAGCCCTATGAAGCGGTATATAAGTCTAACTGCTATTGCTATTTCTTCTTGGCTATGCCAGGCACTTGAAGAAGTATTTGCAGTGCAAATCAGGGAGCTCACATTTAGACACCTGCTACTTTTCTTTTACCTTTAAAACGTTCAAATTAATTATCCTCTCACGGAGAGTGACAGCTCTACTGTGATCACTGTGCTTCAGCCAGCAATCCCTGTTCTCACGCTTAATAGAAAGGCAGGGAAATAATTCCTGGCTCTTCTCGGCTGTGTGTGTTGTTTGCTGAAAGATGAGCGATGCTTTAGGGTGTTTCT